ACTGAGGATTTCTCCGAACTGATAAAGACGAAAATCCACACATTTCAGAAGCCCAACAAATTCCAAGCAGCATAACATTTAACATACAGATAGACACATCATAACACAGTTTCCAAGACCAGACGCAAGGAGACGATGTAGACGGAGCTGGGAAGACAAGACAGCTCACCTTCGAAGGAGTGGCACTCTGACTGGGAGCTGACTGTTCATCAGCCAGAAACACAGTCCAGGGGAAAAACATCTGAGAATGTGATGAGTGACACAAATACTTTCTAACAGGTGAAGCAGCGACATTCCCACATACACAAAAACTGGGTTTTCCACCACCAAAGCCTCATTAAAGGGAGTTCGAAAGAATAAACTCCAGGCAGAAACTGAGAGAAACAGAAAGAAACTGATGCCAGGAAGTCAGAGATGTGAGAAAGAAGGAACAGCGAGCACAGTGGCTCATATGTGGGCAAATGTAAACAAGCATTTACTGTATAAATAACAACCATGAATTATGGAGTTAAAACATGATAGGCTTAGATAGCAAAAGAACATAAATGTTAGTAAAGGGCTGATTGGAGTCAGTATTTCCCAAGGTGCTTACATTTCGATTTCAAAGGTTCAGGTAGAGGGTAAGGATACTGATTAACGTAGACATAAGCTTTGGTGCGTTAATTATGGAAGTTTCAATTTCTGGGACAGCCATTAAGAAAATGAGAAATTGCATACCCAACTTCTAACCTAGATGCTCCAAAAAATTAAATAAGGAAAGCTTATTTCAGTTCAAAAGAAGACAAAGCAAAGAAAAAACTAACAAATACATGGAAATGGCAGGACCAATAAAACCACAACCACAATGACGTTACGAGAAAAATGAGGCATAAGGTGGTTACATCACAGCCAGAAGTGGTTATTAAATAAGCTGTAGAAATAAAGTATATTAGTGCTTACAGTAAACTAAACTAGACTAAATACCCCAAATAAAAGATTAGACAACCACAAAATCATGTTTATAAAAGACACTGAAACACAAGGACATAAAAGGTTGAACTAAACATGATAGGAAAAGATGTACCAGAAAAATTCTAATAAAAAGAAAGTCTGGAGCAAAAAGTAAATTACTTCGAGAAATAAAGACAATAACACCATGATGCTCAAAGCAATGACTCACCAGGAAGCTATAATAACTGCAGATAGGTATGCAACCAATAATATAGCCTCAAATACATAAAGCAAAACGTGACAGAACTACAAGGAGAAATAGACCTCTTTCAGTAACTGAATGATCAAGAAGACCAAAATTAGTAATTATATAGAAGACTTGAAAAATTCAATCAAATTTAATGGATGTATATAGAACACTTCACGCAACAACTATAGGAAGACAATTTTATCAAACACATCTGCTGACATTTGTTTTGTAGGTCAGTGTGTAGTTGAAGAACTGTTATTATACAGATACATTCTCTAAACCCAATGTGCCTAAGTTAGAAATCAGTCAAAAAGATAATTATGGAAGAGTTATATATTTGGAAATTAGGAAACACTTCTAGATAACTCAGAGTTGAAAGAAGAAATCATCAGGGAAAGTAGGAAATATTGAAGTTGAACCATGATAAAAGTACATACCAAAACTTACGTGATGCAGATAAGTCAATATTTAGAGGGATGTTTTATAAACTTAAATGCTTATATTCAGAAGAGGAAAATGTGAAAGTTAATGAGCTGAGTTGAAAGAGATGGCACAAGAGATCAATAGAAGAATATAATAAAGATAAGATCATAAATTAATAAAATAAGAAAAAAATCCCACAATAGCAAAAAGCCAAAGGTGGTTTTTTTGAAAAGGCTGATAAAATTGAGAAACCTCTGACTAGATTAATAAAAAAAAGAAAAGAAAAGAAAAGAAAGAAAAAAAAGGCACAAATAACCACATGACAAATACGAGGGCACATCAGATACTGGAGACAGTAATAGGATATTATAACAGGAAATTATGAAGAACTTTATAGCCATAAACTTGAAAACAAATGAAGTATAAATTTTCTAGGAAATGTAACACACATTAAAATTTATGATAATAAATTGAAAAACTGAACAGTCCATTAAAGAAATCAAATCCGTAGTTAAAAATCTTTTCAAAACGAAAATTCTAGGCCCAGATGCTTTTTACCAATAAATTCTAATTCAAGAAACAAAAAATTCCAATCATATACAAAATATTTCTGAATTTGGAAAAATAGGAAAAACGCTGAGATATTTTTTATGAGGCTTGCATCACCTTGGTATTAAAATCTGACAAAAACAGCATAAAAACCTCTCAGGTTAAACTATGCATTAACGCAGGTGCAAACGTTAGAACCTAAATGTTAACAAACAAACTCAGCGTTAAGTGGAAAAGGCGGCAGGCATATCATGGCAAGTTGTGTTCAGAGAATGCAAGGTTGGCTTCACGCTGGGAAGAAGATACTAATGAATCCACAGTAATAACAAATTAAAGAAGAAGAATCATGTGATCGTCCTTATAGATGTGGGAAAACTCTTTGATACAAGTCAATA